CTAACCCTCAGAGTAATTGAAATAATAACGCACGCTGCCTGGAGCACCCGTAGTGATTACACTGTTTGGGTTGCTAATTCCACTTTCCCCCTCGCGCGACTACAAACACGGTAATGCATCGGCCCGCCTCAGTACTCTTGTTTGTTGTTGTTCCGCAGCTTGACGACTGCGATCTCTTCCACCCCCCCGGGGAGACTGTGGTGTTCTTGTCTGCTAAATATCTCCAAATGACCACAGCGGTACAATGGCTCCTTATCTTGAGAAGGGATAAATCGTTGTTGAGAAAAGTTGCTGGCTAAAATAAACTACTGTCTTTTAGTGATAAAATGTTGGTTGCATCGTAGCATGTTTTGCTAATTTTATTAGCTAGATTATCTACAAATTTATTTCGTCAATCCCTAACTAGTTATCTAGTCCTTTCAATGCTATCTGAAGGGCTAGCTTTAAAATTAGTTTTAGTTAGCAATCCAATACTGCTAGTTTATTAATTAAACCACCATTGTTCTGTAAAAGTACTTAGCTCTGATTGTTTAGTTTTACTTTTAGCTAGGTGCTCCTCAACATTGCTCTAATACTATGTTTGGCTAACATTTTTAGCAAGGAAACCTGCTAATTTCTTTTGTTAATCTTAGAAAAGTTAGTTGTTGTTGATTTCAAACTAGCTATAAACACAAATTATTTCAAGCCAATATGAAAAGCTATAGTCTAAATACTGCTAGTTTATGAACTACTTACAGTGAGTATCGTATGTTTATTTGTAATGCTTGAAAAACTGGTAAGGAGAGTATTGGACTAAAGTAGTGAAACTTGTGGTGGAACCTAAACAATCACTTGACGATAATGACATGACATGATTTGCTACTGATGAGATGGTAGAAGGGCGGCACCCAGGATACAGGTCAAGCCACATGACCGTAAAGTGAGCTCACCTCTCACAATTATGTGCTTTGTGCTCGTTCAACCAGTTTGGAGTGTAACACCTCAGGAACACACCTTTGCCTCAGGCTCTTGTCTGTCTCCACATCCAGTTGTCAACAAGCTTGTCCTTTCTCTCACAGTCAACATTGTTTTGAAGGTTGTGGAGAAGTGACGATTGTTTTGACGTTAGGTTACAGACTTGGTGGTAACATCTTTTTATTGATACCAAGTAGTGGGAGGGGAGCTATTATGTAATTTGCTAATGTTGATAGTCAGTGAGGTTTATGTTTCTACTGTGTTTCTGGGAGACATACATCAATTTTGAGGTGTGTAATTCAGGAGTCCGGATCACTGTCGTGCCTCCGGCTAGAACCAATGCAACATACGCATGTGATGCACAGCAATGACATTAAAACATCCTTGCTCCAACATCTTCCTAATGCTGTTTCTCTCTCGCTGCTCTGTTTACGAAAATAGCAACCGCCATACAGGGCCAACAGCTACACACACACACACACACACACACACGTACTGAAACTAAATGAAGCAAAATAAACACTCAGCTGTTCACTGCACTGGACAGCGTGAGGCTCAGGGAGGTGTCGTGTCACTCCCTTCCAAACACTGCCCCACTTTTGTCCTGGTTATGCAATTTCAAGGGTAATAATATAGAACAGAGTGTCCTCGCCGCTCTGGACTTATGAACAAACAGATAGGAAGGGTGATAAAGAGAGAGATTGAAAGGAAGTATCTATCTATATGTCTGTCGTTCTATCTATCTATATATCTGTTTGTCTGTCACACACACTCGTATTCTGCTACTGTTCTGGACAGATCTAATTAAATCGGACACCCAGGCACCCAAGGATGTTTTTCATACATACAGTAGCACCACCCCTCCTCCACACCACACAAAGACACAAACAAAAACATGCGTTTCCAACACCCTCACCCTTCTCACGCACACATACGCAAACAAACAAACGAATACACACTCAGGCCAGATTTGCAGCTGATGTCAAACAAGGCCAGCAGCCCCTCCCCCCAACAACAGCCCCCACTACAGATTCACTGAAGTCATGCTGGGACAGCATCTGCCGTCACCAATACCTCCACCCCCCCATTCCTTCCAAATCTCCCCTTCTGCTCCGACATCCCCCTTCCTCCACCTTTTGTTTCCGCTCCACACACACACAAGATATCTGGCCTTTAATTGCCCAATTTGTCCTTTATACACACTATCATTTTTCTAAACATTCTTATTAGCCATAGCAGCACTGCATACCCCTACAGAGTAAACTGCTGAAACCATGGTACATGACCTGTCAGATAGTAATACCATAGTACTTTTTATATACCATGGTTTTTACATTAGTGTTCAAAAACACAGTACCATGGTACTTCCATATGTAACCTGGAACTGAATGATTACCATATTATTTAGCATGCTATTTACATGGCTCTTCAATACCTTAGTACCATGCCTAACACACCCCATTGTAGTATTATAGTATAATTTTAAGCACTTAATTTAAAAAAAAGTACTACCATTGTATTTTGAACATGTACCATTCTACTACCATGGTATTTTGGACATGATTCCGTGGTACTATTATGGTATTTTGGAAATGTACTGGTATTTTAGACATGTACCATGGTATTACCATGATATTTTGGACATGTACCATGGTATTTTAGACATGGTACTATCATGGTATAGTTTAAACATGCACCATGGATGTATTATGTTAATCTTAAGTTAGAAGTACCATAATACATGGCTTTTAGTACCAAGCTATATTTAAAGTGCCATGTGATACCATAAATGTACCATAGTACCGCCATAGTACTTTCTGTTAGAGATTACCATGGTACCATGTCCAAAATACAATGGTATCATTAAAATATCATTAAAATATAATATTATATGATTTTGTTAATGAGTTCAAAAAATACCATGCTATTACTATCCAAAAACCATGGTACTATCTCCATAGTATCATGTCCAAAAGAATATGGTCCATTTTAGAGCTTTTTTTTTTGTTAATGACTTACCTTGGTATTACCATGGTACCATGTCCAAAAACATGGCAATGTAATGTTTGTTTAGTATATGTTATTACATGTCAAAGAAAGGCCATCACTCTTTTCTACTGTACTCAGCTGTTCTGTGTTCCCGGCCCGGCACACAACTCTATTTTTAAAGTGGCACCATCAGCCCCAGTGGGTGGCCCAGGATTTCCTAATTGTGATCAACTTTCAGCCTGAGCTCTTGCTGGAAGGTTCCACTCTCTGGCTCAGTCTGGGTCTTGCGTATAAAATCCGCTAGTCTCCTTTGGCATCTGTTGACTTGGCATGTAGCAGGAAATCGCAGCGAGCAGGGCTGCGTAGCCGTAATCTGCTGGCCTCCTGGGGGTCACTAGAGCAGGAGGCTCATGAACTGGATTGTGTGACCCGCTGGACTGCCAAGCACTGTGGGAAACGTATTTAAGAGGGGTTGAAGTCAATGTTGGCTATTACGTCTATGTCATCATACGTAAATGCTGCAGTGTCTTGGACACATGTTCCTTCTTGTTCAGATGTGAAAACATGTATCAGAAATGACATTAACTCCTCAACGGTTCTTTGATAGTTTAGATGGGGTAGTTCAAGGGCGGCGCTCATTCTGAGCAGGTGTTGAATGAGATAAGAACATTTTGGTCTATGACAGAAGAAAGAGATGACGTGGTGTCCCCTCTGTAGTGTCCTTTTCTTTCTTTTTTTTCATAATGTTAAAGGAAAATTTTGCTTTTTTTACCCACCTTCATGTTGTTCATTCTTCACAGCAGGGGATGTTCTTCCGCTCTTCTTCATAAAATGAAAGTGAATGAGAACAGGTGCTTTACAGCTCCAAAATGACAAAAAGCACAATAAATGTACTGCAAAAATAGTCTGCATGATTCATATGGTAAATGGTAAATGGACTGCATTTATATAGCGCTTTCACAGACCCAATGGCCACCAAAGCGCTTTACATTTGCCTCACATTCACCCATTCACACACTCATTCATACACCGACGGCGGTGTCTGCCATACAAGGCGCCATCCAGCTCGTCGGGACCAGCTGGGGTTAGGTGTCTTGCTCATGGACACCTCGACACTTGGTCAGGAGGAACCGGGGATTGAACCACGAACCTTTCGGTTCGCAGACAACCTACATGAACCACTGAGCCACTGCCGCCCCATATTCATATCTAACCTACTCGGCCCACTCCGAGTGGGATTCAAACAAGTGTCTCCAGCATGGGAGGTGGGCGCACTAACAAGGACGCAAAAATACCACAGCCTCTAGTGTCTGTCGCTAGTGACCTTCTTGAGGCCAGGGGAGTGAGTTTTACTCGCACAGCTCTTACTAGGTTGCCTCCGTTACACTCACTCTCCTAAACCTCACTCTCATCCGGGTCACGGCACCAATGTAACCCCTCCGGTTCTACTCGACTTGCTCAGAGCAAGAATTAAACCAGTGTCTCCAGCATGGGAGGTGGGCATGCTAACAAGGGCTCTAAAGACCGCAGTCTCTAGGGTCTGTCGCTAGTGACCCTCTTGAGGCCTCTTACTAGCTGGCCTCCGTTACAGGTATATCAAGCAAACATCTGAGGGGTTATCTCCTGAAAATACAGTGGCCGTCTTTCATTCTACGGAAAAGATCAGTGTGACTGTGAACATTCTCCTAAATGTCTGTTTTGTGTCCCACAGAACAAAGAAAGTCATATTGGTTTGGATTTTAAGGTACTTTAAGGTAAAGTAAAAGGTGACCAAATCTTTATTTTTGGGTGAACTATCCCTTTAAATGGATTCTCCATTGGTTTCTTAAATTACCTCAGGTTCACCAAAGACCCTCCACAGGATTTTTGCTATGGGGTTCTTAGGTTGAGGTCAATGTTTTTGTTTTTTTAGAACAAATATTCTTGATGTTACATCGTTTATTTTTTTTAACTAGAGAACTGTTTCTGCTCTGACTTTTGTCTGTAAAACTCTTTCTAGTACTAATCTAACCTTTTATCAAGATCACATTGTTTCTCTTGTGTTTCCTTCACTTTAGAAACAGTCGCCAAGTCAGAAGCAAAAACTGTCTGCTCCCGAATGATTCCAAACGTTTGGAGTTTCCTCAGTGGCAGGCCAGAGAGAGAAAAAGGTGTCCTTTATATTCTCACTGTTTCCATACGGCATATGGTCTAATAATAGGTGGAGCGGCTCGGTGCCTGGACGGAGATCACTTTACTAAATTGTTGCTAAGCACTACAGTACAATGTTTTCTTTGTTTTGACAAAGAGTACTGATAGTTTTCATTACTACACCCCAAAAAGAGTTGACCACATTTCGACCAACAACCAACGTTTCATAAAAGTAGTGAGTATATGATGAGCACCATTTTTATTCATAAAGTTCAGATAGGTATGTTTTCATGAATGGGACGAACTACTGTAAAACTATGCATAGTGTTCGAGCGAGCTCCTTTGTGTTTATTGTTGTGGCAGCTGCTGTTGGTTACTAAGCCACTTTGACTCTCCAGCGCATAGCTTGTTTTGTCTCCCTGGTAACTTTTGCCACACAAAAACACTTACTGTTGCGTCAAAACCAAGAAAGCCGGCGGTTCTGACCTTGATTTTTGGACTTGTTTAGATATAGATGATTATGTGATGTCATTACAACCCAGAGGCAAAATTCCCATCAAGGAAAGAGTATTTATGATATTAATTTCTTGGGACTTTGGACAAATCGAACTGTAGACGTAAGATTTAGTCACTGAACAACAACAAAAATCACCTCTGCTTCATATCACATTTAGATGTGTCCTGTTTAGTGAACTTTTGTGTGAGTCATGGTGAGCAAATAAAAAGTCCTCTGAAGAAAATTTCCCTTTAACTCCAAACTGAACTTTGACCATTTCAAGGAACTAACCCAATGAGAAAACTACAAAGGTATTTTTACCCAAGCAAAAAAAAACGTTTTATACTTCCTCTTTTTTTAGTGGTCAGGGCTCAAAAAGAGCTTTTAAAGCGAACATAAAGATTTTATTGGTACAAACGTTTTGCAGTGCCAATTAGCCAAATTCTAACTTGATCAAATCAATCATTTGTTCTATACCTTAACCCTAAGTATTGAATCATTCCTAAATGGTCAAAAATAAGGTAAATGCAACTCTATTGGTGCGTTCACATGCTATGGAAAATATGATATTTTCCACTTGTGAACTGGTATTTACCAGTTCAAGTGCTTTTGTTGTCGTAATGTGGTAAAAAGTCTGGAGATCCAGACCTGTTATTTAGCTAAAACTATTTTAGATTGCTTAAGTCATCTGCTACAGCAAGAAAATGATTTATCAAAACTCAAACGGTAAATAATATGCTGTATATTTTCTAGATCATGAATAGTACATATTTTTACCATTCACGACTCTCGCGTTGCTCTCCGCCATTTTGAAAAAGTCAAAGGTTATCTCATCTCGGCAACTCGTGCATCAAAATATTCTACGAGCTGCCCAGTGGAAAATACCACATGAGGGGGTGTTCATGTGCATTTTCCACGTCGGCTTTTGGTATTTACCATAATTACCATGGCACGTGAACGCACCATAAATCTCACAATTGTGACTGTATTTCTCCCAGTTGTGACAATATCTTGTGACTTTGTCTCACAATATGACTTTATTTCTTATTTACTTTTTCTCAAGTATCATTTTCTTCTACTCTCAATTGAAGAAAAGGTGCAGCACTTACTCCCAGCACATAGTTTTAAACTTGCTCCTTAGCAACCACATAGCAACACCCTAACAGCAGCACATTAACAACTGCATATCAACTACATAGAAACAAGCTACAACTAGAACACCTTAGCAACTGCACAGTAATGCCCTGGCAAACGGCCAGATCACCCTAGCATCAACACTCTAGAAACTACTCCTTGGATGTTGTAGAACATGCTGAAACAGCACATGACACTTTAGTGTCTTAGTGTCTTAACTGCATAGCAACCATAGACTGTAAAAAAAGATGGACGACGCCCCTTCGCTCTCTTCCATTGGTCAGAAGTGAAGCCGCGAGTCTCCCGATATGGCGCTGACATCTTGGAACTTGAGTCTGCGCAATAGCGATCTCGGGACCAGACATGCGCAGTAGTGAGCAGGAAGTAAAGCCGCGAAATCAAGGCCCCGCCCTCACTCTCGCAGAATCAATCGCAAGCACATGCTCCTGTACTTTTTAAAATTAATTATAGAAATTTAGATATTAAATTTAAAGCTCCAATCTCCTCAGTCCTCCGAAGATCCCGAAAAAAGTCTGTTGGTGCTTCAGTGACTACTTCGCTCAGAGAACCTGTCAATCACAGCTGTCAATCATGACGTCACACCACCGCATCAAATAACTCACTTATTTTAAAAACAAACACTTGAACTTACATCAGCGTGATAAAAACTACAGTAAATGACAGAAACCATCTTTGGAAAAAAGATATTTGAAGTGTAATTTAATTGTTTAGTTGGTTGAATAACATGGGGAGGCGGGGTTTATGACCTATACTAGGACCAGCCACCGGGGGGGCGATCGAGACGTTTTGGCTTCACTTTTCAGGGCTTGTGCGGCACGCTTGATAGCAACGCCCTGGCAGTTCCCCGGAACACCCTAGTCAAAACTTTCAGGACACCTTAGCAACTGCATAGAAATGTTTTGGCAACCACCCTGAACACCCTAGCAACTACATAGCAACACCCTGTCAACCACTTAGATTAATAGCGGCAATTTTTTTTTACGTGGGTAACAAAGTAATTGTTCTATATAAAAACAAAAAAATCTAGTTAAAAATCTCTGAAAACAACATTAGTGGCCATTCAAAAGGAATCAAGCCTCGTTCAGGCTGTCTGTCCAAATCCAATTTTTGTGCATCCGATCAGATTTAGCAAGTGTGAACAGCAAAAAAATCACATGTAATTATTTTTTTTTACAAATCTGTGCATTTCTGGAAATCCGTTTCAGTCTGATTGCTCTGGGGTGTGTTTCCCGAAACAATGACGTAACTCGCTGCTTATCTACCATATATGATGCATCGTTGAAGAAATCAAATAGCTGGTCACAACTGTTTTACCGAAACCATAATGTCGCAAATTGGTCGTTCAACCATGTTGGTTAATGATGTCACGCAGGTGAAGGGGTAATAACTACTTTTAATGTATCTGTTTAAGATCTAATTAATGCTAGAATTTTTGCTATAAATTACGGACATTGCAACTGAGGACTATTTCTCATTTTTCTCAGTTATTTTGCTTTATTTCCAGATTCAATCATAGACTCGTTCTTACGTAGTAGAGGACGTTCGCACATGCGCAGTCTTCAAAATGGTGCTTTAAATCTCTCTTGACGAACTAAAAGACGTAAATGATATTTGTATGTATTCTAAACAAAAGAGATAGATTGTATTGAATGTTAGCTTGCTTATTTGACTTAAGATAAGGATTTATTGAGTCCACATGTCATGCAAGCTGTCGTTCCAACCACACAACTTTGCGATGCTGTTTGCGAATATTCGTTAGAACTATGATTTCGGGAAACACGACTCTTTGAACTATGCTGATAACGACGGAACTTGCGACCATAGTTGGCTAACAATGCTTTTGGGAAACGAACACCAGATCGGATTTTGAGTGGTTTATGTGAATTTCTCACGCCACGTAAACCATTAACGTCAGACATTGTTATAGGAAACATTCTGAAAGTCGCTGCAGAAACAAGGTTGTGTTGTTCCAAGGTGTCGAACAAGCAGAAAACGACAATATAACAGAGACATGTTTTGAAACCGGCAGAGACGACGGCAGACGGCACGGCACACTCACACCAGCCTCCTACGGTTCGGCCACTGCCTCATAAAGACGCAGTAGTCTAGCGCTGTAAATAAGACAACATCTGTATTGCAAACCCCTCCATTTTGCAGTTGTTGTTGTTTTTGGCGTATGCCTACCAACGCAACGTCATTACCGTAGACCGAAAGAGCTGCATGGACACACAAATTGGATCTGTACATTTGCGATACACAGTGTGGACAGTCAATAATTTTAGATCAGATTCCAATCTGATACACTAATAATCGGATTTGGACAGACAGTGTGAACGTAGCTTTAAGTGTGTTAATGTTTGACGAACGTGAAATTTCTCACTATTTTCAGATCTGTCTACGGCACGGCTCCTGTTGGGACATATGACCCTCCTGTAACGACAAAACATGAGAAAGGTACACCAGCCTTCTTTCTCATAGCGGCCATCTGTCTGCTCTAATTGCCCCAAGCTTCCTTTGCTCTCAACATGCCCCAGCTTGTAACGTTTGAGGAGACACCTAAACGTTCAGGCCTGTTGTCATTGCAAAAGCCTCACATATCAGTTCCATGACTGTCTGCTATCCGAGTCTATAAAGCTTTTGGGAACTGCAATTAAACTCGACCCCACGCCCAACAGGAAACATACATCAATGTGACGTTTTGCACGTGTAGTTCGTCTCTGGTCTTCTGGCCCTGTCCTTCAAGGTGGACCCTCCCCCCAACCCCACAACAACACCCCCTTCCTTCACCATCCCAGGCTGCTCCTGTTTCAGGAAGCCCGGCCCTGTCACTGATCCCATGCTGGCATTTTTCCCAGGATACCCCTCCCCCGGTCCCATTTTCCCTCCAACAACCTCCTCCTCCTCCAATCCTCGGCACCCTCCCCCACCCAAATCCTTTTCCCCTCCTGTCCTCTGCCAGTTTCCCAAGATAAACAAAGACTTCAGTTTGTCTGGGCTCCGGCAGGGGTCAAATGGAATGAATAGCGGGGCCATAGCGAGGGCTCTTTCTCTCTCCCCTGCTTCAAAAGATCACTGCCGAATTGTCTTTGTGATTGTGCTCCTGTGGGGGGGGGGGCGTTGAGTCATTGTAGGCCAGTTTCAAAGTTCTAACTGCTTGGCGGTTACGACTTTCAGTTCCCTGTTTGGTTTTATTGCACACTAGAGTAGTAGTTTCCCTGTTTGTTTTGCATTCTCACATAAACAGCCTAATCTGTGATAATCCGTATGACGTGGTGCCATATTTTGACATTACTCACCAATAAAGAAAAATACAATATGCACAGATTTCGTATTTATTTTCTTCGCCACAGGAAGCACCTCTGATCTTTTGGCGGATTACTGATGGTTTGCTAATGTTTTGAAGGCTTCTGATTAGGTTCTGTAATTCCTGCACACACAAAGCTGATTTGAATAGCCGATGACTCCTTTAGGGTGTCGCATGAATATGGGAGAGTTCACGTATTGGTTTGTGAGATTATTCTCACACTTGTCGCCCAACCCCCTCAGATTTTTTTTGGAGGAATACTGTTTGAATACCTTTGTTTACTCTAGGTGGATGAGTTGCATTCTGGAGACTGATGAGATCATTGACGAAATGCTTTGTGGGACAATGTGTCAATGCGGAGATATCCATCTTGCTGAATGAGTGGTCAAAAGTTTTCCTGACTTTCTGTTTGCTTCAAACAAAAGAACTGATGGGGTAGATCTTGTCTCTACTTGTATCCAGACGGGTGTTTTGTTCAGGCATCTTTCTGCCCTGCTCTATGGGACTGACCATGTTAGACAGGGACACGGCATGGCTCTTAGCACACAATAAATCACCTATACACCTAAAACAGTCCTTGACATCTTATCTTTATTGCTTGATTTAGTCTCTTTTTGGTCTTCAGAGCTATTATGGGAGCTTTGCTAATTAGCAATTCGAGTATCACTTTTAATATTGCTAAAACTTTCGTTAGGGATTTGACGCCAAGTATTGAACTTTGGTTTTGATGTTCCTTTTCTAAATGTTCATACTGTTGATTTGTGCTTGGCCAAAGATAAATTGTATTAAAAAAAAAAGTCCTATAGATTTATATTTAAGTGGGGGTATATGATATCAATGGGCTAAAATATCATAAAGTGTCTACGTGGTTTGTTATAGTCTTTGGTCAGGTTGTCTAAGAATACATGACCCAATGTGCAATCAAATATTTGTGAATCAAATAGGTGCGGTCACGTTTACCAGTGTTCAGCAAATTTTGGGGGGCAAAATCCAGTCATTTCAATCCACACGATCTGAATTGCATGCAGATTTCGCAACAAGTTCAATGAATTTACTAGGTTGACCAACAGAAAGTTGCTTGGTTTGCAAGTGTCTTCCATGTGAGTGGTGCTTCATGCAACCCTATACTTGATAATGGATCTTTCGCCTGCAGGATTTCGCTAATCTGACCACACCTTTAGTCTGATTTTGCAAAAACTGGATCAGTATGATTTCAGTTGAACATTGAGCATTTACATGACATTTTAAAAACAAAAATGATTGTTTTAGTCCAACTGCAATAGAACTTTTATAGTGCACCCATGGGTAAGTAACCACCCATAGCATCCAAGCAATAGCATAACAACAGTTCAGAATGCTCAAAAATCTTGTTGTTGCATGAGTCTGATCTGCCACGCCATTACCTGATAATTTACCAAAACTTTAATCAGATCGACGTCCCCGCTAAATTTCTCCGCTTTTGACTCTAACATTACAGACATGCTCTCCTACTGCATATCGGCAGGAAACGTTTTCACAACTTTGCTCTTTTCCTCCCACCCCCACCCCCTTTCCTTCCAGGACAGAGGAATGCAGGACCGAGAGGCCAGTCAGGAGAGGACAGCTGGATGTGTTTAAGCATGGTTTGTGAAACAGACAGTGATGTGATGTTGCATTCATCACATCCGACAAACATTTTTAGATCTATACGTTGATTTTGGATCGGACTTCCCAATGTCAGTGATAACTTCAGGTATTACGTTATTAAAGGAACTGCAGAAATTTGAGGAAAAGTCCACTGCAGCCAAGAGGTACATGTCAGGCCACGCCCTCGTCATCTGCTCCAGCTCTGTTGCTGTTCTGTGCTGGTGTGGTCAGCTGACTTGGCCGTGGCCGGGATTTGAATGACCCACATTTCTCAAACGAGCAGGGTGAGAGAGCAGCTTTACTCTTGCCTTCTGGTCTTTCTCAAGGGAATGTATCTATCTATAGCTACCCATGTCTGTGTGAAAGAATGCAGCACCAAGCTGGTTCTGCTGGTAACGTCAGCTTTCGACGTAGAGAAATGTTTTTTTTTTTACAAATATATATATATATATTACTCGCACTTTAAAAAGCTGAGATTACTGTTAAAAACCGTAAGGAGCTTTTTCTACCTGATCTGACCTTTACAAATCACTTTCCCCCCACACCTTTTCACCAGTGAATTTTCCTGTTTTCTAGTTATTTGATTACTGAGGAAGGGTTTTAAAAATGTATTTATTTTTTATTTATTTATTTAAAAGGGACAGTGCATATTAGCTTTTCAGCAATGTAAATATGCCAGAATTAGCTATTATAAGGCTATTTTACATCTGTAATATTTTTTTATCAGAGATTCAGTTTTAAAATATTATATATTGTAGTTGTAATTATTATATTTTATATGCCAAATTATACGTTTATAGACTTTTCCAGGCATGGAAATCACGATTTTAAAATGTAATGATATTTCCATGACCCAAAAGCTTTGAACCTAATGTAGTTATATTTATGATTCCTTTATTTTATTCAAGATAAACTGACTTTTTCTGTACATATTACTAGACACATTCAAATTCCACTTATCACAATGACTGCATTCTTGCCCAGTGAATTAAATACATTTCTCCATAATTACTTGTACAAAATGAAACACTTCTTGAGCATAAAGTCCTTTCCTCATTGTAAATTATGAATCATATCTCCTCTGTTAATAATGCAAGACTGCTCAAGTGATGTTGCTGCATAAAAAAAAGTTTAGACATCAGTGATTCTATCATGACTGTTCTCTCTTGCAGGAAAAGGCATGTCATGTTGAATAGGCTGGGACCAAAGACAGGCCCTGCGAGAAGAGACATCAGTCTGTGCGCTGAAACTGAGCCCTGCATACCACACATGCTTTAGGGGCACAATAGCCCTCTTTACAACATGCAGTAAAAATTGCCTGGAAGAATTGCCATGGAACAGCAGCTGAGCATTCTTGTTATTCTCAAAGTTGTCGGATCACTTTGGAAGAGCTAAATAGTTTTGTTTGAGGAAGCTGCATTTTAAATATTTAAATACCCTAAATTGTAAATCGTTGACTCCTATGCTCAGAATCAAGTGTGAAGAGCATGTTCTTCACTTGATTCTGAATATAGGAGTCAATGATATACGATTTAGGGTTAGTATTTGAATATAATCATTAAGTACAATCAACTTGGGTGTTTGTCATTTCAACTTAAATTACATTACACACTAACTTAATATGAGTTGAATCTTGTATAACATAAAAAAAAGTTGAAAATTGCTTAACTTCTTTTGATGATTTAAAGCAATGTAAAAACATGTCTTAACTTATTGATCATATAATTTTTTACAGTGCATGGTTCCCACACCTTTTGACCAATTAATTTCTGGGAGTTAAATTTCCATTTGTGATTTATAGAATAGTTTGTTATATATAAAATACATATTTATATAATTTAGAGATTGCATTCAAATTGCAATTTTTGACAATGAAATAATGTCTATTATTATATAGGATATATTCATATTTACTATTTAGAATCAGTAATCTCCATTAATTACTGCAAATCACAATTTTAAAGTTCTGTCGCTGTTGGAACCTTGAAAACAGGCTTGGGCTGGAATTTTTAGTCTGAAAACAGCTCATATAATTTGCATAAAGGTGGATGAGGTGTCATGTGACTACAGTCACGTTCTCAACTTTTCCACTCATGAACAGAAAGGACAGAAACAATGCGTAATTTCACATTTTTTAATACGTGAGCACCACGTAAATTGTCATGATACCAAAATACATAGATTCAGAATGCGACATGGGAAGCAATATATACACACACTCAAATATTACATTATGTACAGGTCTTTATAAAACAAAGACATTAAAACAGTGGCCTAAACCTCGTACAGTCAAGTTTGGTGTGGTCGCCCCTGAATCGGTTCGGAGACAATGTAATATTGACCTTCATGACACGTTTGCATATGTTGTAATACCCCTTGCTCACATGGCTTTTTTGAATTGTCTGAATAGAGAGTTCAACACTTCAAGAACTGTAATCCCAAGAAGTAGCACCAGCATTCAAATAGTTCCTTCACTAGAAAGGCATGCCCGGACATCTTATAGGCCAAACTGAGCTTGTACTTTGGAAGCACCACTCATGCTTGCTGGGAAGTCCCACACTACCATGTTGAGCCCAGGCCTGACCACGTGTTACCAATGCACGCAGGGCAACCCGGATAAGAAGTATAGTACAATACAGTTAGAAAGCGACTATCGCTGTACTCCAAGGGTTTAGGTTCTTCAACATTTGGTCGCAGCAGATTTGACCACTTTCTTCAGCCTCAGCCTCAGGTTTAGCGCTGTCCTTGCTGAGAAGTCCTGAGAAACTGGAACCAAATATCGTTATGAGATTGGACACGTTACTTGTGTCCATTTCCTCGGCTTCCTCGTCGTCTTTAGCGTTTGAGGAAGCGACTTTTGTCCTTTTTAGAGGCGAATCGTCTCTTTCCGACTCCTCCGCGCTTCTTTTCCTGTTTGAACAAACATGCGTTTTGGGTGGTTGCTGTGAATCCCCGTTCTCTACAGGCGTTGACTGACGTTCTGCTACTGTAGTGTCTGAGGGACTCTCCTTGGGTTCGTTAATGGTTTCCGGTGGGGTTTCAGATGAAACGTTACCAACAGAGTCCAACGAAGAGTTTTGTTTTTGCTCTTGTTGTAAAGTTGAAGTACAATCCGCCTGGTTTGATTTCACCTCGTCGTCGTTTTCGCGATATTCCCGCTCTTTCTCGCTCGCCTCGGGTTGCTTATTTGGTTGAGGTTCCTCTGGGCTTTCACATTCCGTTGTAGAGGGAGGGAATTTCTCCCGCTCTGAATCCATAATGTCCCATTCGTTCCCTTCGCGTTCGCCTTGAGCGTTCAGGCACGCGCCGCTGTAGTAGTCGCTCAGATAGACCTGACGCGCGCTGCGAAGGACCAGCGATACCAGGAGGTTTTTGTGCAATTTAATGCCACCACGTTGAATGCGCGAGTTGTAGATTTTCCCTAAGGAAATACTCATAATCCGGTGGGCTTCCACTTTGTATTCCATGGCTGGAGTCGAAACGCCGAAGTTCAGACACGGTACAAAGTTCGCCAAGCGTTTCACGTTTGATTTCCTCTCTGGAATCTCCTCCAAACGTTACTGTAAATTGGCCAGCGACGCAGAAACACGTTAATTAGATAACGTACAAGAACTTCCCCCTCCTGTAGATCAGATTGTCCCTTGTTTTGTTGACAAAAGCTTCATTCTCATTTATAAAATGCAATATCGGTTTTATTGGCCGAGTGTAGGAGATTTCATTACCTCACACATTTTCTTCTGCACCCAGCAATGATCTAGGGAGGAATGAGACCGTTTCTATTTTTAACTCGCTTTTATACTTCAGCGTCAGCGACTACACTAGCCAATCACATCTCGAGTTGAGTTCTGCCACCGTTGTGAATCACACCCCGCCAAATAGGTGGTGACCAATGGGAGAGCGCTTTGGCGATGAGTCATATTTAAATACTAACGTGGGAGAACTGTTTAAAGGGAAAGAAATGTTTTCAAGCTAAAACAGACAGATATTTTTATAGTTCGTTATGTGTATTCAGCTGTTTTGACATATAGTTAAGCTCGTCTATATTTAAAACACAATGCCGTTATCGTAAGCAAATAGAATCAAATAACAAGCCAAAATCGACATGTAATCGAAAGTAAAACATGTTTTTACATGTTACTGTGATTTTTCGCGGTAGGATCAATGTCATACATTTAGTTCCTAAATACGTCTTTTTAGATCTATACATACATGTATTATTCGTATTACAGTTTCCACATAGCATCAGTTCTTGTTTTATAAGAAGAAAAAAGGGTACTTCCCCTTTAATTTTTTCAACTGACTTCCTCGACTGATGTAATGGTTTGTCTGCTACAGTCGTGTCACATGACTCTATTGTGCAAATCCATTGCGGTGTCTGAGCAAATGTGAATGGAGCTGTTAGTGGGGGGAAGGGCAATGTTTTGTTTGAAGAAACAGTTAGCTGCTACTCATGAACTACAATGAACAGTGCGCCAGATTTGATCCTGATGATAATGCTTCTTAATGGCCCTACTTTCATTAGGCTATATATATGCATGTACATTTTAATTATAGGCCTAATCCTTGTGCGTTGGTTTGTGAGTTTCCCTGCATTAAGATGTGGGTCATAAACAAACCTGACAGGAAGAGCGGGCTATGACGTAAGACACTTTCAGAGGTCGTTTTTCTAAATATAAACGATCACAGCCATGGCTCCCGCACAATATCTTTGTGAAATCCTTGGTTAGATTAATTCAGATTAAGAATGTATCTTTGATAGACAAGAATATAAAAAAGGCTTAACAGCATTCAGCTGTGTTGTGCTGTTAATAGATTGCAGTTCAAGGTAGTTCACCTAAAAAATTAAAATGTTGTCATTATGTACTCACCCTCATGTTTTTCCAAATCTGTATGAGTTTCTTTCTTCTGTTGAACACAAAAGAAGATATTTTGAAGAATGTTGGTAACCAAACAGTTGACGGTACCCATTGACTTCCATTGTATTTTTTTCCTTCTATGGAAGTCAATGGCTACTGTCAACTACTACCAACATTATTTTTTTGTGTTCAACAGAAGAAATCATACAGGTTTAGAAAAGCATGTGGGTGAGTAAATGATGATAGAATTTTCCTTTTTGGGTGAACTATCCTTTTAATACAGGGATACAATTCATATATCTATCATGCATATTATCTCATATATTCCTTATTCTTCATTCAGGTCCTCATGTTGATGGGGAAACTGGCACTTGATACTATAAATAAAGCCAGAGTAGATTAATAATTTATGCAGCTTTACTTACTAAAGGCGAGCTGAAGTGTTTCCAGCTGGTTTTCTGGTTTTACATCATACACAATGTCCTCTTACCAGTGCACAGCACTAGCACTGGTGTAGATAGTCAACTAATGAGAATACAGCGTTCTGATGAATAATGTAGGAAGCACGGTGCTAGTAGGCAGACGAGGTACACAGATACATTGATTATGAGAAACCAGTGGCAAACTCATAGTTACTATTACTGTGGTTTCAGATTATATTAATGTATTTTAATTTTTTATATTTTCTGAGAACAGACAGGTGTTTAATTAATGTAGTGTATCAAAGTAAACCTAGAGTTAAAGTAAATAAAAGTACATTAGTGGAACCACAGTACAGTATGGTATCAGATGGTATACCTTGTTACTTTCATATGGTACCATGTAAAAAATGTTTTTAAAGAAATAGAGCAATTGTTAAATAAAATAAAAAAGAGTAAGAATGGTTACAAAGTAAATACCATAGTACATCAATTTCAGTACCACAGTAAATTTCAACCACCCATCAGGAATCATCACAATACCATGGTACTAATAATAATATTATTGTTATCACTGTTATTATTATTAAGTATAATGACATAATTTGTATAATAGTTAAATAGTAGTAAAGTGGTAGGTAGTAATAGTAAAATTACAATATACTATTGTAATATTTAATATTAAAAAATACAGCAACACCGTCCGGGATATAGAGGTGTTGAAATATTTAACTACAACATATTTATACAGCGGTATCTGAATTAAACCCTTTTTGCCCATAATTTTAAACACGGTGTTATACACATTTTAACATATCCGTGCATTCTGGGGCAATATTGCTTTGTTCTTCAGCAACAACAAACCAAAACAGTCCACGCAGAAAAAAAGCACGCTGGTGTTTATTTACCGGGAGGCTCGTGTGCGCGCGCGCGTGTCTAGACGCTCAAGGACCCGGATGTGATTCCGCCGAGCAATGGCTGCTGAGCGGATCCGGGCTCCGTCCCGCATGTAAACAACACATTAAGAGCTCTCCTTTGTTAAAGAAAACCAGCCGCGGTCAGGAGCATGAGATTTTCGCTCAAGAATCGACTCATCTGAGCACCAAAATGTCGATGGAAGATCCGTTTTTCGTGGTGAAAGGGTGAGTTTATGGCTTAGATCGGTTAACGTTACCGTGGGACAAGAATATCATATATCGATTTCGGAGAAATCGGATTATTAACTCTTAGTGTTTTTTTTCTATGGTTAATCTTTTCTGTTCACAAATTTTATTATTGCGCGTAAATACTTTAGCAGGTTATAATACCGCTTAAAACAGCTGTTTCTGTAAGATCGTTATCTTGTTGCCATGGCAACCGTAAATATCGATTTCTCTCCACTGTATTATATCATGCCGTTAAATCGATATCTCAATTGTTTTCCTATTAAGTGGTATTGGTGTATGTTAGCAAACATCTGCTCTTCGTTATATTACACTTACAAAAATGTACCATTTTACTACCACGTTTTTTGGAAATGTATCATTGTTTAATTGGAAGTATGTTAACTTACTATGGATATATGTCAGAGTAGCCTACCATGCTATTTCCATGTGATACTGCCCAAAATTTGGAATTATCATGGTACGATACCCCCAAATTTCTTTATAATATATATATGGGTTTATAGGATATTAGCATTGTCAATGTTCAAATAAACTTACATTTTTATTTTTATTTTTTATTTATTACACAACCCTAGGTTGACCAAAGTGCTGTACATAAAGTTAAAATAATGTTAACAAAATAAACAAGATATAAACATTTACAAAAACAATATAATTAAACAATTTGAATTAAACTTTTAACCCATCATCATTTGTAATGAAGTGTTTTGATTGATTGCTTTTCCTTAGAGAGGTGCAGAAGGCTGTGAACACGGCTCAAGGGCTTCATCAGAGATGGATGGAGCTGCTACAGGACCCGGGTGGAGCCAGCAAGGAGGAGATGGACTGGACCACCAATGAGCTGCGGAACAGTTTGAGGTCCATTGAATGGGACTTGGAGGACTTGGATGAGACTATCAATATCCTTTTGTTTCTGGTAGCCTATGTGGACTTGATGTTCTTCTGGCTTTTATATGTTGGTTGTAGCCTTAACCTAGTGTTCAAGTATTGTGGAGGCGAATCCAAAGAAGTTCAATCTTGATGCTGTGGAGCTGGCCAAAAGGAAAGCCTTCATCACTAGCACAAGGCAAACAGTCAGAGTGAGTAGATTTGAGAAACTTAAGTCCTGTTCACACCAAGAATTAACTATAATAGCGCCCACAGTAACGTTCTGTTTATTATAGGCATGCGCTGAAGTTTTGTCGTCTGTAGCTTTAAATGCTTGAGCTTTTTAAAGTCAGTTGGATTCTTATTGGCAATTTTTTATCAGCTGGATAAAAAATCATTGTGAAAGGGAGTACTCAGTGATATTGTTCCTCTGTGCCGTTATTGTTATAGTTGAGGTGTGGACTGCTATATTTAGAACTATTTTAAAAATCATATCTTTACCGTTATAGCGCGTGACAGGCCTTTACACACATCTGCACCCATGGTAGATGAATATCTCTAATGGATTTTTATTTTACAGGACATGAAAGACCACATGACTAGTCCAATGGCCGTTACAGTGTCCGAGCGGAAAACTCGACAGGTTTGTACTTAAGCTATGGAAGTAAGTGTCAGATTGTGATTTTACAGGTTGTATATCAGCTCATGACAATTGATGTTCTTATTTTAGACTTTAATGGGCGATGGTGGGTCTCGTGGCCCAATCTGGCAACCCAGTGCTGATAAATACACTAGACTGGACAAGGAGCTGCAGACGGCAAACTCACAATTCATTGATGAACAACAGACCCAGCAATATGTATGTCAATATATACATCATACTACAAATAACAAGTGATTAGCATATTCTACGGTATTTATGAGCACTTATCAGGGCAATGTGTTTTTTTGTGTGTGTGTGTACATGGCAGCTAATAGCAGAAAAGCAGGATGAGCATCTAGAGTTAGTTTCGGGAACTATTGGCGTCTTGAAGAACATGTCTCAAAGGATCGGCCAGGAGCTGGATGAGCAAGCTGTGTAAGTCACTTCAAAATTGGTAAAGTCAGGTAGGAAATCTTTGTGTGTGTGTATATACACATGCGCGAACAGTTCTGGTTCTCGAATCTGATTGGCTGAGAGCCTTTTCCAGCAATGCAATATTCTACTAATATCACATGGAAACTGTTTCACAATTTGTATCTCTCCGCTTGTTTCTGATGGATCTATACTGGCAGCATTTTTCACAACGAGCGTCAATGGCGGAAGAGCAAAAACACTACTTTTTGTCTACTTATTTTGGAATGTAGTTGTAGTAAGAGTTTTTTTTTTCGGCGAGAATGTAGTTGTTTAGACCTCAAATATGCGATTTATATTGGAACATTTGTTTAGACATTTTCGGATGTAAATATAAAAATATGTACATA